AAATGAGGGAACAACCATATGATCATGCCCTGGCCAGGTGGCTCATTTGGTTGGAATGTAATTCCATATACCAAAAGGTTTGTGGGTCTGATTCCCTGGTCAGGGCACATACCCAGGTTGTGGGTTCAATCTCCATTTGGGACATGTTGGTGAGGCAGCCAATCAATGTTTCTGTCTTCTCTCTTCTCTGTCTCTCTCTCCCTGCCTCTCCTTCTCCCTCTCCCTCCCCTCCTTCCTCTCTCTCTAAAATCAGGTAGAAAACAAAGCATTGTGTAAGGATTAAAAAACTATATGATCATATCAATAAATACAGAAAAGCATTTGAGAAAATCCAACCTTTATTTATGATAAAAATTCTCAGTAAAGTAGGGATGAGGGGATCATACCTCAACATAATAAATGCTATATATATGATAAATCCAGAACTAACATCATGCTTAATGGTAAAAAGCTAAAAGATTTTTAAGATCAGGTACATGACAAGGATGTCCACTTTTACCACTTTTATTCAACACAGTATTGGAAGTCCTAGACACAGCAACCAGACAGGAAAAAGAAATAAAAGGCATCCACATAGGAAAGAAAGAAGTAGAACTGTCATTATTTGCAGATGACATGATACTATACATAGAGAACCCTGAAGATTTTATGAAGTAACTATTAGAATAAATGAATTCAGTAAAATAGCAGAATACAAATTAATATTCAGAGATTAGCTGCATTTTTATATACCAATAATAAACTATCAGAAAGAGGAATTAAGAAAACAATCCCATTTACAATTGCATGAAAAGATATTAAATACTTAGGAATGAATTTAACCAAAGAGGTAAAAGACCTGTACTCAGAAAACTATAAGAAATTGAAGAAGACACAAATAAATGGAAGGATATACCATGGGTAGGAAGAATTAACATTATTAAAATGTCCATACTACCCAAAGTAATCTACAGATTCAATGCACTCCCTATCAAAATACCAATGTCAGTTTTCACAGTACTAAAATGAATAATCCTAAAATGTATATGGTAACATAAAAGACCCTGAAGAGCCACAGAAATATTAAGACAGAAGAGCAAAATTGGAGATACCACACTACCTAATATCAAACTACACTACAAGGCTATAATAATCAACTACATGGTATTGGCATAAAAACAGACATAGAGATCGATGGAAAAGAATGGAGAGCCCATAAATAAAACCATGCTTATATGTAAAATTGATCTATGATGAAGAGGGCAAGAGTATACAGTGGGGTAAAGATAGTCTCTTCAATAAATGCTTTTGGGGAAAACTGGACAGATACATGGAAAAAAATAAAACTACTTTCTTACAGCTACCCAAAAATAAACTCAAAATGGGTTAGAGACTTAAATGTAAGACCTGAAACCACAAATCTCCAGGAAGAAAACAGAGGCAGTAAACTCTTTGGCACTGGTCTTACCAATTTTTTTTCTTTTTGGCTATGTCTATTAGGACAAAGACAACAAAAGCAAAGTAGATGGGACCACATCAAACTAAAAAACTTTTGCACCACAAAGGAAACCATCAACAAAACAAAAAGACAACTAACCGAATTTGAGAAGACATGTTTGCAAATGATATATCTGATAGGAAATTAATACCCCCAAAATATAAGGAATTCATACAGCTCAACATTGACAAAGAATCCTATTTAAAAATGCACAGATGACCCAAATAGACATTTCTCCAAAGAGGATATACAGATGACCAACAGACATATGAAAAGATGATAACATCACTAATTATCAGGCTTTAATACAGGCTTTAATACAAATTAAAACCACAATAAGATATTGCTTCACACCTGTCAGAATGGCTGCCATCAATAAATCAACAAACAAATGTTGGCAAGGATGTGAAGAAAAGGGAAACTTCATGCACTGTTGGTAGGGTTGTAAATTGGGGCAGCCACTATGTAAAACAGTATGTAGTTTCTTCCCAAAATTAAAAATAGAACTACCATATGACCCGGCAATTCAACTTCTGGGGATTTATCCAAAGAATTCCAAAACACTAATTCAAAAAGATATATGCACCCCACGTTCATTGCAGCATTACTTACAATTGCCAAGATATGAAAGCAACCTAAGTTTCCATCAACGGATGAGTGGATAAAGAAATTGTGGTACATGTATACAATAGAATATTACTCAATCATAAAAAAGAATGAAATATTTCCATTTATAAGAACATGGGTAGATCTAGAAAACATAATACTACCTTAAATAAATTAGCCCAAGAAAGGCAAATATCATGATTTTACTTCTATATGGAATCTAAAAACCAAAATGAATGAACAAACATGGGCCTGGAGATTATTATACTAAGTGAAATAAGCCAGTCAGAGAAAGACAAATGCCATATAATGTCACTTTTATGTGGAATCTAATGAACAAAATAAAATGATAAACAAAACAGAAACAGAGGCAATGAACACATGGAACAGACTGATGGCTGTCAGAGGGAATGGGGGAGGAGGGGGCTGGATGAAAGAAGGTGAAGGGATTCGCCAAAGAGTATATATATATAAAACCCATGGACACTGACAACAGTGTGGTGATGGCCAGAGGGAAGGGGATGTGGGGACTAGGAGGATGAGGACAAAGGAGAGGTGGAAAGACATCGTCAATAATGTCAACAATAAGAAAAAAGAAAATGGCATAAATAAATAAATAAATAAATAAATAAATAAATAAATGGACAAAGCAGAAACAAACTCAAATACGAAGAACAAATTGATGGTCACCAGATGAGAGGGATGTTAGATGGATGAGTGAAAAAGGTGAAAGGGATTAAGAAGCACAAATTGCCAGTTACAAAAGTACTCAGAAGCACGTACAGTACAGAACAGGAAATATCGCCAATAATATTATAATAACTATGTATGGTATTTGATGGGTACAGAATTATCATGGTGCTCATTTCATAAGGCACATAAACCTAATCATTATCTTGTATGCCTGAAACTAATATATTGTATGTCAACTATAATGAAAAAGTAAATTTAAAAAATAATACTAGTTATTTTGAAAGTATGAAGTAAATTCCATTATTGGGGCATCCTACAAAATACCTGACCAGTACTCCTCCAAAACTGACAAGTTCAGGAAAAACATAGAAAGTCTGAGAAACTGCCAAGGAGACATGATAACTCCCTGGCATGGGGTATCCTGGATGGGATTCTGGAATAGAAAAAGGGAGGACATACAGAGGGCCCATAGACATATGAAAAAATGCTCAACATCACTAGTTATCAGAGAGATGCAAATTAAAAACACAATGAAGTATCACCTTACACCTGTCAGAATGGTGATCATTAATGAACCAACACATAACCAGTGCTGGCGAGGTTGTGGAGAAAAGGGAAGCCTAGTGTACTGTTGGTGGAATGCAGACTGGTGCAGCCACTGTGAAAAACAGTGTGGAATTTCTTTAAAAAATTAAAAATGAACCTGCCTTATAGTCCAGCGATTCCACTGCTGGAATATACCCCAAGGATCCTGAAACACCAATTCAAAAGAACTTACGCACCTCTTTGTTCATAGCAGCACTACTTACAATAACCAAATGTTGGAAACAGCCCAAGTGTCCATCAGTAGATGAATGGATTAAAAAACTGTGGTACATTTACACAATGAAATACTACGCAGCAGAAGTAAGGGACTCCTATATTTCTGGACAGCATGGATGGACCTGCAGACTATCATGCTAAGTGAAATAAACCAGTGAAAATCAAATACCATATGACTTCACTTACAATTGGAGCCTAATAAACAAAATAAACTGACCAGAAAAATACAGACATGGAGGCAGGGGACAGATTGATTGCTTTAGGAGAGAAGGAGAGGTGAAATGGTGGAAGGGGGAGGGACTAGTCAAAGAACATGTATGAATGATGAGTGGACATCACAACAGAGAGGAGACTGACTGTGGGCTAGAGGGGTGGGCTGGGTGGAGAGAGGCAGAAGGGAAAAAATTGGGACAACTGTGATAGAATAAACAGTAAGAAAGAGGATATTACAAAAGTTAAATAAGTCTGAATAAACTATAACAATTGCCTTCTGTATATTCAAATCCAGCTTTAAAAGTTTTTCCTAAATTTGCATTTTATTCCCTTGACTACTTTCACGATATATGTACCTAACAATATGAAATATTGTTTTAAAACTGTATAAATTATCATACTACATATATTTTACATCATCTTCGTTCTATTTCTGGGTTCATTCTTAACTTACTAGCGAATATTTCATTACATGAGTATCCCACGAAGTATTTATTCGCTTATTGATGGATGTTCCCAAATGTTTGCTTCTATTCACAGCGCTATTATGTACATCACTGTCTACGTATCAAAGTTTCTGTAAGATACATACTTCGGAATGCTGGGATTTAGTATTTGGACATTTTCAGTTCCACTAGATTTTGCCAAACTGCTTTCAAAGGCTGTAACATGTATGCACTTATCAGCCAGTGCGTAGTAGGTCCTGACACATTTTAGGAGAAAAACTTTTGAGAGACATACACATTGAATAACATTCTTGCTTTAACCTTAGTTTTACTTTTGTGTCCATATAGTCATTCCTATAAACAGCCAGCAACTACGAGCCCTAAAACTCGATGCTCTACGACTAGCCACAGCGTGATACTCAGAGACACAGACACGCCTGCTTGCGGCGTTATCTTCTTACGCAAGATCGGACGTCGGCACGCTGGGGTCGTCGGCGTTTTGTTTTACGTCCCCGAAAGCCCTTTTCCGGGCTGTCTGACAAGATCCAAGTATCAAGTTTATTTTTGTCGACTGCTTCTCTTTCGTAAGAAAGGAAAATATCCTGACAGGCTCTTCTTTCTCTCAGAGGGGATTCTCTAGTCGTCTCTAAGAGGCTGTAGTCCAAGAAGAGCCTTTTCCGGCTGGCCTTTTTCCTTCAGGCAGTGCCGCTGGCAGCCCTCAGGCCCCCGTAAGGCGCGCGCCACCACCACGCCTCTTTCTTTTCGGCCGGAACCGCCATCTTCCAGGTAGGGTGTGTGCGTTTCTCTCGGCGAACTTGGTTGTGTTGAATTGTAACTCTGAGTCTGCTGAAGCCGCCCAGTGGGTCCAGGTATATTGTCTGGGTCCCTGTGGCATGGGTGGTGGAACTGTGTTTGTCCAGACTCGAAAAGCGTGCGCCTGGCGGCTACGGGCTCGGGCCGGGGGCCGAGGACGGGACTGCGGTGCCGCGGCTTAGCACAGGCCAGGCTCCAGAAAAACCAGTTTGAATCCGCCGCGTGAGGCGACTTGAGTCAGTCTGGAAAGATATTCCTCTTGTCTGTGTCGTCACGGCTTCGCTTTGTTAGTCTGGGCCTTCTGGGACAGGCTCTGTGGGGCCGGGCCGCGTGGTGGGATGCCGTTCAAATACCCTTCTGCGCGGCATTTTTACTCCTAGGTTAAAACCCACATTTGTAATGCTATCGGATTGGGAGTTAGGGGTAGGAGGGACGGTTTCAAAACTAGGAGTTGCCTTTCATCTGCGGTGAGGTCTGGTTGTGTGTGAAAGCCTCATGGTCGGAGAACGGAATAGGTTCGCACTGTGCTCACCTGGATAGAGAACTCCAGACTACTGGTCTTTGGTGCGTGAAATGTTATCCCATTGTTTTTGGCCCTGAGCGCATTAACAAAGGGAAAATACTTTGCAACAGGCATTGTTGTGTTAATGCAGAGGTATGTTGTGTTGAATGAATGGATTCTCGAATGATTGATTCAGTAGTTCAGGGGAAAGGTTATTGCAGAATCATCTAATCGTAGTGTCTTAACTTTTGGTCTAACTTGTAGATAGTAGCGACCAGCCACTAGAGTTGAGCAAACTGAAGTCTGTACCCCATAGTGGGTTTCAGTTTGGGGAATAAAAGAAACTGTGCATTGGGTATTGATGTAAAATGAGTTTCTTACTAGGGAAGACGGGCCTGATGCAAGGAGCATATGGGCTCTGGAGTCAGAAATTATCCCTTTACTGATCTGCCATTTTTGACATGTTACTTGGAAAGATGCAGAGCATCTTTCCTCGTTTATAAACTTAACACAGATTTTTACGAACTTAATATTTTGAGGATGAAAATAGGGAACCTGCCATGTAATAAATAGGTGCTTAGTTGCTTCTAAAAGTAAAGGGTGTAAGTTTTAACAGAGGTTTGTTTGGCTGTGGGTGGGTTAGGTGAAACATTCTTGTGCCTCTCTGCCTCACAAGTTAGATGAAAAGGGTACTTGGGTGGAGTCACTTTTCTCTAAGATTAAAGGAATGTTGATTAGGAGACTGATTTACGTAGAACTCGTGTCAACTAGAGACTTAGGTATGTTTTGCCTTGTAGTAATTGTAAGCAATAGCAGTTCTCTTCTTAGATGACCTGAAACATTTGAAACCTTCCGGGGAACAAAATGAAAGGTTCTATCCTAAATGCATATAGGTAAATTCTTACCCAGTGAGTTAGAGATTTTTGACAGTTAATATTTGTACAAGAGATACTGCCCAAAAACTGGGTTTACAATAAAAGGACTTTAATTTGCCATGTAAAAATGTAATGCTGAGTTTTGTTACACTTTCCAACAATACCTTCTAGTTAGTAATAGCTTCTAGTTGCAATATCTTCTAGTTAGTAATTCCTGTGCCCTTAGCATTCTAGGCTGGGATCTACGGTATGGGGGGGTCCTGTTGGGTTTATTATATTCTAATAGGCAAAATACTGGCTTGATTTCTGAAGTCCACTTCTGTTACTTAGGAATTTTAATGTTATGGAACTTAGGTTTCGCAAAGATTTTACTTGCTATAATGATGGTTTGTAAGAAATATTTGTTTGCTGTTACATTTGACTTTTATATTTTCTGGTTTCAGTAATTCGCCAGAATGACTAACACAAAGGGAAAGAGGAGAGGTACCCGTTACATGTTCTCTAGGCCTTTTAGAAAACATGGTAAGTAGATTTACCCCCTTTGTGACCAAGCATGGCATACATTTCTGCTATATTGATACATTTGTGTTGAGATTCTTATAACGTATTCTTGATAATGGCAGCTAACCAGTACCTACCTTATTTTGTAATAACAAAGCATAAATTTTATGCAGTAGTTTTTAAATTGTCAACTTGAATGTTTTTAAAATGCATGTAGCTTGTCAAATGTGTGTGTCAAAAGCTAGTGAAATTATATTTCTTTGACTTGACTTTTTAATCCTGATACTACTTTTAGGAGTTGTTCCTTTGGCTACATACATGCGGATCTACAAGAAAGGTGATATTGTAGATATCAAGGTAAATTATAAAATTGGGGAAGTAACATTAAAATGTAGAACAGTTGGATTTAATATAACCGCACTTTAACGTAACCACAGTGTTTATTGCACCTGCTGGCTCCTAAATGGGGGGAAATGGATTGCTCTTGAATAGCTAATTTAATTTTACTTTTAAAGCCAGTTTTTAAAGTGCTATTCTTTAGTTTTAAGAAGTGTCTCATTACTGGTTAACAGCTAGTAGGGAAAATATAGGAGAAATAATCATGAGAGTTTGGTGATAAGGAATGCCTTAGTGCAAAATTAATTGATGGTGATTAATAAAACCAGTGAAAGCTATGTTCTTTTGTAACCCGTATTTAAGTGTATCCTGGCACTCTAGAGCTTAATGATGATTGTCTTTTTGATTGCTTAAAGCAGTGTGAAAAATGCATTTCACCGGCTCTGAAAGCTCTTGAGTTGCCATTTAAAAGAGAAGTCTTTTAGTTACATTAATAGAAGTCAGTGTTTAAAAGGAAGGGAGGATTTGCTGGGATGACATTTATCTCCTTTCTTAACAGGGAATGGGCACTGTTCAGAAAGGAATGCCCCACAAATGTTACCATGGCAAAACTGGAAGAGTCTACAATGTCACCCAGCATGCAGTGGGCATTGTTGTAAACAAACAAGTTAAGTAAGTAATGAAATAGTTCTTGGCTAATTCATATTCCCTCATACCCCCTTTTCACTTTGCCAATTGGACTTGTGTCTTTATTGGCCATTCAAGTGGGGCAAAGGAACTACCCTTTTAAAACTCAAGCAAACTGGGTGTTTGTCTTGTATCCTGTCAGAGGAAACAAGTTGAAACAGACATACTGAGAAGTCTTAATGGGATTTGGATAAGCAGTTCTAGTTTCCAGAGTATAAAGTTCGATAATGTAAATTTTATTAATAATCTGGTTTTGGCTAAATTACTTAGTATTTCAGTGTCTGTTATCCTATTTAGGGGTAAAAGGCTCATGGTTTATTTAATAAATGAAACTGCCAAAATGAGCTTTTTGAATTTCAGTTTTATTTTTTATGAGGCATTTATAAGAATTTTGCTTTCTCCAGGGGCAAGATTCTTGCCAAGAGAATTAATGTACGAATTGAGCATATTAAGCACTCAAAGAGTCGAGATAGCTTCCTAAAACGTGTGAAGGAAAATGATCAGAAAAAGAAGGAAGCCAAAGAGAAAGGTACCTGGGTTCAGCTGAAGCGTCAGGTGAGTGCTTGACAAAGGGTTTTTTGGTTGGTCTTGGGAACTATAAAACTGTTGCTCAGCAATTTTCTTTTATATGAAAGTAAGAGAGAATGGAGTGTTTTTTTTTTTTCATTGTTTCTGAGATCGCTTTGAAATTGAGTTATAGTACTTTACATAATTATTCCCTCACTTTTTTTTTTTTTTTTTATTTATAGCCTGCTCCACCCAGAGAAGCACACTTTGTGAGAACTAATGGAAAGGAGCCTGAGCTGTTGGAACCCATTCCCTATGAATTCATGGCATGATAAGTGTGGAAAAAATAAAAGACTTCTATACTGATAAAAATGTTGAATTCATTGGGTGATGTCTTTACTAAAGGAATTTAGTGGGGGTTTTTTCTGGCTGAAAGACGTGGGGTGGCTTATTTGCAACAAAGAATGTACTCCATTGATTAGGAAACAGCATTTGTTGCATTATAGTTAAGCTCAAGGAAAGTTGATTACTTACAATTAGATCATAAATAGCTGTAGTTTAGGGATCAGAAACTTATCTTTGAAGGCTCATACTTAAAAATGGATTGTTTCAAGTACCCTTTGTGAGCTACATAGTAGTTCTGAGTTGCTTCCACCTGTCACGCAACATGGCTTAGAAAATAATAGTGTTTGATAATTTGGAACTAGAATATCTTTTTTTTCTCCTAAGGATAAATGTCTGTATCACATTTAATATGGTGTGTTGCATTCTAAGCCCTTTACATGTTTAGCCCATTTTACATAAAAGAAAGCTGAGGCACAATTAACTTGCACAAGGAGATTCAGACCCAGGCAGTTTGGCTCCATCATCAGGTCTTAGTCACTAGTGTTATATTGCTTCATATTAACGGGAACATTTTAAAGCTACTTTGTATAGTTGGAGCACATTTGAGTTACTCTGTTAATTCTTGGATATTTATCTGGACGTGGTAAAAACATCTCAAGACGTATCCAGAAGCGAATTGATGACATCCTATCCTAGCTGCCTTCAGTGTTCTATGATGCCTGTAGTATAACATCAGTTGGTTTGAAATGGGAAACTTGGCACTTAGAGTGCTCTCCTTCCCACTAACGGACAAGAACCTAACCATTTTTGTGACTTCAGTGCTGCGAAGGGGTAAACCCAACGTTAGTGGCTTTCAGTTTTCTTCAGTGAAATGTGATAGTAATGAGTCTGCTTTGGTATTTAGCAAACCTGGTTTTGAACCTCAGTGTATGTCTAACATAACAAATGATGCATATTAGCTGCTATTAAAGGTTCACATCTGAAAACTAGAAAATTGTGTTCAGTCACCCTTAATTGGTCAACAGAATTCATCATCACAGAAAGCAACCAGAAAAAAAACTTATAAATTGCTTCTGTTGGCATTCCTGTTCTAAGTTTTTCAGTTTTAGTTGATGACAACACTATATCCAGTTGAAGTCATTTTATACTTGCACATGTCTCTCACTTTGCACATTTTGAAATTCTATTTCCTGAGGTTTTTTCCTGGCCATTACCAAGGCAAAATAAGGTACAAGAGTTGGTGTTCACAGTCCCTTTGTTTCTTCCCTCTTCATTGATTATTCCTGGTCTCTTGTGTCTTTGGCCCTTTTCCACTTGCTGCTTTCTTGACTTCAGCCTATGGACTTAAAAACAACAATAAAACGAGAAGCTTTCCCTGTGCCTTTCTCTGGTAGCTTACTTTCCCAGTCCCACTGCAGATAATGGCTTCTGCCTCCATCACTCCAATGCAGCTACTCAGGGTTTACCAACACTTGCTGATTAAATTTAGAGACTTTTCAATTTAACTATCTCCCTAAATAATATGCCAGTGTTTTCTTTTCCAAGTATTATGGCTTCTGCCATAATACTTTTTCCCAGTTCTCCAGCTGGCTGCATCAACTAGAAACTTGATAAAAGTGCAGACCTACTCAAGGACAATTTGAGTCAGAAATTTTAGGAGTGTGGTGCAGCATTCAAAGCTCTGGGTGATTAAGATATGTGTTTCAAGTTTGAGAACCCCTGTTCTGTCTTAGCCTTCTCTAATACACTTGGGGGTCAGATTTCGGAGCTCATGGTCTGAAATTCTAGATCTATATTTACAACTCCCTCTTGGGCATCTCCATCTGGATGTCCTGCAAATATACATGTTAGTTTGGAAGTTTTTACTACATGTATTAAATTGAAATTCTTGAGCTTTGGGTAATGTGTGTGTGCGTGCTGATAAAATGTGCCTTCCTTGAAATGCAGGTCCTTTTAGGTACATCACAGATTGTAAATTTATAAATTTTTCCCATCTCTCAACACTTGTTGCAAATGAAGAAAAGCTTTCTTACTCTGGAACTTTACATCCTGTTCTAAGAGTCAGGACTGTAAGAGAGGTTGCATGATTACTTGGACTTTTAATTGTTAATCTAGCCAGGTGTCTCTTAAGGCCACTGTTTTTGTTCAGTTGAACCCAATTCCAAGGGCAAATTCTTTGACTTCGTCTTGAAAGTTGTAGGAGGGAAAAAACCTCACTCCATTTTATATCTCTTACATTCCCACTAGAGTACATTAGTATTTTATCTGTACTAGGGTACATTAGTATTTTCTCTGTAAATGTTAGTGCTAACATTAAAAGAATGTGCTAGAAATTAGCAATAAAAATTGCTAAAATAAATAAGATACGGTTGTTTTTTTTTTTCAGTGGAAGAGAGTTGAAACAATTTGATGTATTTGAAACATGAGTTTATAGCATTTCTTCATCCCAGCTCCACTTGGGAAAAATTTTTATTCATTCAAAACCTCTTACCTGTTAAGAGGAATTGCTTGGTTATGAATAATAGGCAGCACCTGAAGCTGTTGCCTGCTGAGGTAGAAAATATGTCGAGGAACGGATAACCAGCTAGCCAAGGTTCCATGTTGTACCTTTCAAACAGCGAAAGTGTGGGACAAGGAGCAAGTGGCAGGCCATCTCACAAAGCCCCAAAGGGAAAAAAGGCACAGAGAAAATACTTTGATACACACTTGTCTAGCAAGAACAGAACTTAGGGAAATTATTTGGCTTGGAAAAGAAATGGCAGTGGGATACTATACTATCCACAAAAAGAGATGATCACTTAGCTGAAGTGAAGGTGTGTTGGGATTTTTTTGCTCCCGGAAGAGAAGAAAGACTTCAGTTCGATCTGCTTTGTTGTTCTGTTTACGTCAGCAGAGTACTCTCCATCTTGCTTTCCACAGCGGTGGACTACACCAAGATTTGAAATTAGAGGGGTTGGACCATGGGTGGCAAACTCAAGGCCTACGGACCAAATATGGCCTTCCACCTTGTTTTATCTGGCCTGGCACCTTGTTTCTACCAGGTGGCAGTGCCAAGCTCCTTGCCTCTAGTTAAGGAGTAGTTACATTTATACTGCTCTAAAATCACATTCGAACCTTTGAAGGCAGCTGCCAGGCTGATGTGACCGCCAGTGAAAATGAGTTTGACACCACTGGGTTGGACAGTCTACTACTGAGTGGCTCTGACTGCATAAATTACTATGCTTGTCTGAACCTCGATTTAGAAGATATTTTACCAATTTCAAGGATTAAGGAAGAATTCAGGTTTAGAGTTTGTTAATTCAGTAATTTATGAGTGATAATTATTTTAACATGGGGATGCCTGTGAAGGGAGGCAGGAGTATCTTACATTTTGTTGTCCTCTCAGTAAATGTTTCATAATAGAAACGTGGCTGTTCTGTGTATTCTGTACCATCACTTAGCCATACAGATTTTCAATTATTTTGACTGTCGAAATAGGGAGTTGGTAAAAGACAGAAACAATTCTTATTCTGGGGAAAGTGTCAAAACTCAGTCCTTGGGTCTGCAGTAAGTGGCAGTAGTAAGCATTTAGGCTACACAGGAAAAGCCATTGATGTGTGTTGGGTGGTGGTGGAAGAGACATACTAGTGCGGGACAGTCAGACCTTTGGTGAAGATTTGTCCCAGGGCTAGAAATCAAGCTTATTTAGTATTAATTTCCTGCGTGTGGTGATGTTTGCATATTCTAAATTTTGTCCTTCACATTCATTCTGTACACCCACGGATTTGTATGTTCATATCTGCCTACTCATTTCTATTTTTCTAAAATGACTTCAGCAAGCCTATTATGTTAGCTGGACCACAATTTTACATGACTGGACACAAATGCAAATGAAGTAGAATACAACAGCAACAATTTACACAAGGCTATTTGTAATTCCACAGTTAATAATTGCATTAAAACGTCATGCAATATCTTGTGTATTTGCAAATGCAAAGAGCTTTCTAAGTAGAGCGGAATAACATTTTGAGCTCACTGAGCAAAGGTGTGATGTAAATGTAAAATGAATGTCATTATTACCTGGGCAGAGAACAGGAATCCTCCTTATTGGGTGACCCTAAACTTAAATGATCTTATTCCTGACTGGGAATGTAAGACTGAATGAGGTGAAGAGATAAGCCCTAGATTCAGCCAAGAAAGGGCTTATATGCCCTTGGAAATTCTGCATTTAGACTTAAAAAAGTGAAGTTTGTGGCAGATACCATTGACAGCTGCTCAACAGAGGTTCTCTCTCTGTCCCTTGATTTCTAACAGGTAGCAACTGTATCTAGCCCCTGGGGAGGAACTGTGATTGTTCAAGTTAGTCATAGCAATCCCAGTCTTCTTTGCCAGATATTTGGATAAACTCCCAGCTTCTCAGTTCTGGCCATTGAAATGTGAAAGAAAGTCTGCTGGGTTCTTCCTGAAAATCATTTCACAATAAGAAAAGACAAAGATCCTCCCTCCGTGCCTGAATGAGGACGTGATGTTTGGTGAAGCAGGAGCCATATTGTGTCCAACAGGGAGAGGCCAAGAGAATGTGAGACAACCACCCAGACCCCCTCTCACTTAACTGCTCAAGGACCCCTGGAATCGAATTGTTTCAAGGTTCTGTAAATAGTAACTGTCTTTATGGTGCCCTTTCCCCAGTTAGGGAAGAAGGTGCCCTGCTTCTTCTTTCCAGTGGAACTTGAAATGATAGAACTTGGCAACTAATTAATGTGGAAGCGAGAAGGGTGGGAGTCAGGGATGACTGGGAGGTCTGGGCTACTGCTGGGTGATTGGAGGCGTGCACTGTGCCTCAGTATAGTCCATTGCAAAAATGGGTCCCATTCTCTAGCCCTCTCTGCATCCCAGTTCTTTCAAATGTACCTCTGTGGCTCCCTCCATCAAGGGGTAGAGCGTATTTCCCTACTCCTTGAATAGGAGCTATTACTGTGACTTGCTTAGGCCAACAGAAAGCAACAGAGGTGATGAGTTCCATGTGTGAGCCTAAGTCACTCTCTTGG